CTTGGATCGACTTTAAGGTGCAAAAAAAAGTTGCTTTAGTTCTCCAAGGAAAATAAAATTTTTAAAATTTCAATTTGAAACCTGAAATTTCATAATTTTTAAAAATTATATACATCCTTGCAAAATTCAATTATTTTCCACAATTTTTAACTAAATTAAAATTTTTTTTGTAAAAATAAAAATTCTCTGAAATATTATAGGAATTGGGAACTTTAAAATTCGCATCATTTAACATTCCTTAAATTAAGAACTCAAAATGAAATCTCGATAATAAATATTCGTTGAAATACAAATTATTCTAAATAGAGATAAATATTCTCTTAATTAAAACTTGAGTCAAATCAAAATTCGATTGCATGCAAATTGTGTTAAGTTGAAATTTAAGTTAATTTTAATTTGATTCAACAAAAATTCTGCAAAAAAAATCTATAAACAAATTTGGTAAGAAACGAAATTTTACAAAAAAAAAAAAATTAACCAAATTAATTGGACTAAAAAAATAACTTGAAGATTTACATATGTATTTATTTATATAATACTATAAATAATGAGAGAGAAAACAGTTTGTAATATATTTATACAGTCAGTCATTTGTTTTAATAATCACGCGACTTTAACCTAATTCAGAAGTGTCATTAATATTCACGTGGAATGTGGACAATGAATTGAATAATTTGTTACGTACTACAGAGTTCAAATATTTATTTATATATTAAGCTTAATGATAGTTAAATTATTTCTTCACAATACATCAATCTTATTCTATCTATTATTTTTTATTTTCAAAATGAATTCTAAATGCTGACAGAAAATTGTTAATTATAGAAAAATTTCATAATTAAAAGAAATCATACCCCAAAGAATTTTAGTTAAAAACACTACAAAAAATTGAATTTCGAAGAAGTTAGGTACAAATAATTGAAATTTAATTTTCAAACGTAATATAAAATTCTTCGCAGAAATTAAATTATGTTCAAATTTTTTTTTAAATTCTCTTTAAAATTTCAGTTATCTTTATAAATAATAAAATTCTTCACTAAAATTCAATTATTTTCAAAAATTTTAATAAAATTCTTGCGGCAAAATTTCAGTTATTTTTAAAAATTACCCTTAATTCTCAACGATTTTCCATATCTTCAATTTTCATAAAATTTTCCAAAAGAATTCAATTATTTTTATATACAATTAAACTCATCACAGAACTTTAATTATTTTTAATACAATTTTAATTAATTTCGTCGAAAAATGTAATTATTCTTAAGAACGTTATTGAAATACGTCAAAAAATTCAATTATTTAAAAATTTGTTCATAAAATTCTGTATGGGAATTCAATTTTAAGAATCATTCAATTATTCAATAAATTATTAATTTTTGTATTTAAATAATTGAATTCTTGTAGAATTTTTTAATAAAAATTGATGTAAAAATTAATTTTAGTTAAAATTTTAGATAATAATAGAATATTAAAAGCATTAATTATAGCGTGAATTTTTAGAAATAATCGAATTTTAAAAAGTTTTCAAATTAAAATCTTTGCAAATCTGAATTTTTCTTATCTTTAACTAACAATTTTGTAGAACTAATTTTTTTTAAAGATTCAACTGAATTTTTTTTTAAATTATTTCAAGTTTTTATTTTTTAACTTATATTTAAATTCAAAATTCAATTATTTTAAAAAATTTTAATATAATTCTTGGATAATTTCAATTACAATAACTTTCAATATCTATCATATTTTAATAAAATTTTTCAAAAGAATTCAATTATTTAAAAAAATTTTAGATAAAATTCTATGTAAACATTTAATTATTTTCATAAATAATAAAAATTTCACAGAAATTCAATTATTTACTAATTTTTTTATAAATTTCTTCGTAATAATTTCATTATTTTCATAAATAATAACATTTTTCACAAGAATTCAATTATTTCCATTGAAAATAAAGACCTTCACAGGATTTTAGTTATTAGGTATTAATACAATTTTATTATTATTTATGAATACAATTCTCGAAAAATGCAATGGTTCTTAAAAATTCTACCTATTAAAATTCGTCGAAAAATTCAATTATTTAAAAATTTTTTGATAAAATTCTTTTGAGAATCAATTTTTAGAAACATTCTATCATTCAATAAAATATTAAATATTAATTTTTGTATTTGAATAATTGAATTCTCGTAAACTTTTCTAATAAAAATTGATTTAAAAATGAATTTCAGTTAAAATTGTCGATAATAATTGAATACTAACAGCACTACAGCGTGAATTTTTAAAAATAATTGTGTTTTAAAAATGTTTCAAATTAAAATTTTTGAAAATTTTAATTTTAAAACTTTTAATTGAAAATTTTATGAAACTAATATTTTTGAAAGGTTTAATTGAATTTTTTTGAAATTATTTAAAGCTTTTATTTTCTAATATATATTTAATTCAGGCACTTATCCGAATAATCGAAAAAAGTACGAAATAAACGAATATTTAAATAAGAATGAATGAATTTACATAAACTTTTTCTTAAAATCATTAAAATACATTTAAAAAACGCAACGTTTCGTGTGGAAATTAAAAATTCCATGTAATAATTAAGAAAATGACACTTTTGCTGTTTGTATAGACGCAGTTATTTATACAGATTTGAATAGAAAACACACTTGTATGTTTTCCTACTGTACACATCAATTTGCGTCATATACCATGAAAATTTTTCTTTCACAAATTCCTGAAATTGGTGTTGCGTTGACGCGTCAAAAACTATTTCTTGGGGTTTCTAGTGATGAAAATGGCATTAATTTTACTGTTTTCATTCACTCGAAATTCTGAAACTTTACATTTAACTGTTTGTTTGAAAAAACTTTTTTTCTTTGGTATTGCAGAAAGAAAATTTGTTCAAAGACTTTGTTTCAGTTTTCATGTGAATTGGTGAAAAACTAATTTCTGGTTTCGAGTAATTTAAATACATAGAGTATAGAAACATACATAATCTTATTTACTTATTGTATAATGATATTCTAAAGTGATTTGATTGATACTGTGTTTGTATAAAATTTTTTACAGGTGTTCAAATTACGTAATTTTTCCAAAGATGTATTATGGACCCCACTCTTTAATTTATTTACTTTCATCCTTTTAATTTTACACTTTATTAAATATCAATAGTCTTGTAAACCGTAAACGATGTTAATTTCTAATTTTCCACGCTTTTTGATTACTTTTAAAAAGATGTTCATCTATTTTTAAAACAGTTTTCATAATTTTAAAACATATGAAAAAAGTGAATTGATATGAAAACTGAATACCAAAGAATACCACTAAATAATTTTCTACGATATCTCAGATTGTATTGGTTCTCTAGAGTATAAAATCGATGAGTATGTTCATCATGAGGGCTTCTACCCACCCTAAGTATATAAAAACACTGCTTTAAAACTATTTTCTACAAATGAGAAATAAAAGTCAAAAGTTAAAATATGTTTTCATTGTTATTCGATTAAGAAATGCGTAATCCATACGTGTTTCAAGTGTTCTTTAACGCATTCGCCAAGTGTTCTAATCTTCTAATGCGTCAATTGTCATTTGACACATTTCGACTTTTTCCTGGTTCAAAATTTCAAATAGACTTGACTTCGAAAATTTTATTTTATGCCCAGAGTTATTGAATTCATAATTTAACTTTAACTATCTTCAAAACATTCTAATTACAATTTTTCAAAAGACTAATTTTTTCAAAATTTCTAAATTAATTTACACTCAAAACTTGAATATTTTTTGTTAAATAAATATTTAAATACTTATTTATTTTCTGGTAGGAATTCAAATAATTTTTAAGATTTTAATGCAAAACCTTTTTGTAATTTAACTATTTTTAAAAATTCAATCATTTTTGGGCGAAATTTTTAAATTATCAAATTATTCAAAACTTTAAAATTTAATTTATTTCTAAAAATTTCCTTTTATTGTAACACTTCTAATATTTAATTATTATCTAAAATTTCACCTAAAATTTATTTTTGAATCAATTATTATTAGGAAATTCTACGAGAATTCCATTATTTGAATACAAAAATTAATAATTTATTAAATAATTAAAAATATTTCTTAAAATTATTGAAATTGAATTTTATCAACTTTTTAAATAATTGAATTCTTTCGACAAATTTTAATGAGATTTTTAAAAATATTTACGTTTTTCGAGGGATTTGAGGAAAATTGTAATTGAATTCTTGCAACGAATTTAATTAAAATGTTTTAAATAATTGAATTCCTGTAAAAAATTTTTTCTTTTTATGAAAATATTGGAAATATTGCGAAAAAATGGAATTTTTGCAATTATTTGTTACTTCTCCAAAATTCAATAATTGAAATCCTGCAAATAGTTTTATTATTTATGAAAATATATTTGCATTCTTGCCAAGAATTTTATTAAAATTTTGAAAATAATTGAATTTCCGTGAAAAATTTTATTATTGAATGTTTACGTAAAATTTTATCCAAATTTTATTTAAATAATTGAATTCTTTTTGTAAATTTTATTAAATTGCAGATATTGGAAATAATTGAAACTAGAAAATTTTTTAAAAAAATGGAATCGTTTCAAAGAAGGTTATTAAATTTTTTGGAAATTTTTCTAAGAATTTTATTAAAAGTTTTAAGAATAATTTGTTTATTTCAACTATTAGAGAATTAAAAGTAGTGCGAATTCTCAAGAAAAAGAAAAAAGTAACTTTTAGTTTCACAAATTAAAAAAAAAAAATATCTAAATAGTAGTAAATCGTAAAAAAAATTGTAAATAATAGGTTTGAGTAGATGAGTGAGAAGTCTGGACTCTTTTCATAGATTCTATAATTTCTATAAAATTTGAATTTTAATTAGTTGTCACAGTTCTTTTTAGGGAGGGTGGTTCTTCTTAGGGATTATTATCAGTGGAAATTACCATCATGATTACATAATGATATTTTAAAAGTTTTTGCCCATCGACTTACAGAAAAATATGAACTTACCTATCTCTAGGATCGATCCACGTTGTTTTCCTTGTATTGTGGTCAATGAAGTACACTTTCCCATCGAAGTCTTGAGCGACATCCCACCCTTCCGGAAGTGGTATCTCCCCATTCCGTCTCCTTGGCATATTTCACTGCACTCTGCAAATATGAAAAATTATTACTCATCATTTTCACAAATAATAAGCATACGAAGTATTTCTATTTATGAATCACCATTTTTCAAACAAATTTTCAATTTTTATCAAACAAACAATTAGAGTAGAATTTTACTATTTCTTCAAATTCAAATTTTTTAAATTGTAAAAATTTAACATAGCGAAATCTTTATCTCTCTCTTTCTTTTTGTTGCTTATTTAATGTTTTGTTGAATGTTTTATCGGCATGAAGGATGAGTTAAAGAAAAATAATTATTTTTTTAATAAATTTTCTATCACGAATAATTTTAACCAAATTTTTAAATGTTACGATTTAAATCAAAGACATGATTCCATTTTAATCATGATTTAAATCAAATTTTTTCATAAAAATAGGTTTTTTAATCAACTTTAACTTCAAAGGAAAAATTCAACAAAGAATCTGAAAGAAATGGAACAAAAGATGAAACTAAAGTTTCGTCGACAAAAAATTGTAATTTCTATTTATTTTAGTAGACCTACTGTTTTTTTTTACTAAAGTTTAAGTGAAAAATGACTTGTAATTAGTAAAAATTATTACTGACTTGAAGTACACTGCATTAAGAATAATTCTTACCTTCAGCCCATTTTATTTGACTAAAATTTTATTTATTTGACTAAATTTTGGTTTTAAAATGTAAACCATTTGAGACTTTGTTTTTTCTGCGAGTAGTTAACGACTTCGTACTCTTTAAAATTTAGAGAGTAGTTTACTTTTTAATAAGGAAGATACATTTATGATTGGATTTCTAGTTCAAAATGAGTAAATCGACAGAATCCAATTTCTTCTCTTCAAAGTTCATCGACCTCCATACTTATAATTTGACATCATTAATTTCTTAAAGAACTACATTTAGTTATCATCATGCCTTTGAGTTGAATAAACGTCTATATACTTGTAAAAGTTTTTCACTACTTTGTTGTTTTAATATTTTTTTCCTTTTTGTCAATTATTTAATAATATTTAAGGTAATTGCCCCAGTTACCGTCAATTGAACCAAAAATAATAAAATATGTTTTTCACTGACTTTTGGTTTGAAACCTTTACAAAATTCAATTATTTCTTGAAATTCACGTTATAATTCTTTTAGTATTCAATTATTATCTAACATTTTAAATGAAAGTCATTTTCAAATCAATTTTTATTAGAAAATTCTACGAGAATTGAATTATTTAAATTCAAAAATAAATAATTTATTGAATAATTGAATGTTTCTCAAAATTGAATTCTCATAAAAAATTATATCAAAAAATTTTTAAATAATTGAAATCCTGCGATGAGTTTTGTTATTTATATGAAAATAATTGAATTCCTAAAAAGAATTTTATTATTTACGAGAAAATAATTGAATTATTGCGAAGAAATTTGTGAAAAATTTGTAAATAATTGAATTTCTGGGAAATTTTTATTATGAAAATAAATAAATGTTTCCGTAGAATTTTATTCCAATTTTCTTTTAATTGAATTCTTTAAGAAAATTTTATTAAAATAGTAGATATTGAAAATCATTGGATTAAAGAAATTTTTTTAAAATAATTTAAATTTTATCAAGAATTTTATTAAACTTTTAGAAAATAATTGAAATTTTGCAAAGAATTTTATTATATTTTTAAAGATAATTAAAAATTTTTATAAATTTTTGAACTAATTGATTTTCTGCGAAAAATTTTATTACTTTTGAAAATAATTAAATTTTTGCAATCATTTGCGCTGCTTCTTCAAAATTCAATTGTTTTTAGTGTCTTTAACGAAAATTCTTCTATAAATCCATTATTTTTAATAATTAATTAAATAAATGTTAAAAAATTTAACTAATTTCAGAAGAATTTGAATTGAAATTTTATAAAATTTAAAATTGAAACCTTTTGAAGTTAATCTGTTTATGAAAATTTATGAAAATCTATTTATGAAAATTGTAAACTTGCGTTTACAATTTTTATAAATAGATTAACTGTTTTAAAATTGAATTAATTTTGAAATATTGAAGTAAAATTATTCATTAAATAATTTATAAGCAATATTTTATGATAGTTTTTCAAGAATTAAGTTATTCATAAATAAATTATGGCCAGAAATATAAAAAATTGAAGGTTTTGTATTAAAATTCGTGGTAATTTAATAGTTTACGAGGCAAACAAAAAAGACACAAACATTCACAATTTTCTTATGAATTCTAAAAATTTAATTTTTCCAGTACTTTTAATAATTTAATAAAATTGCCGAAACCTAATTAGTGCCTTATTTTTGAATTTATGCCAAACTCCTTTTTAAAATTGTTTATATTCTCTACTTTTAATTTAAGTCTTGTAAATTATTTAGACGCCATATGAAAAGAAGGTCTTTCAGAATTTTTTCTGCGATTTTCATATTATAATTGAATGAAAGTTTTTACATGTTATTATACATATTAAGAACTATTATATTAAAAAATAAAATTGCAAATGTTAAAATCAGTTGATATTTTCAATCAACAGAAGGCGCTTCTAAAACTATCTGAAATTGTAAGTTAAAACCGTAGACAGCATAGCTTATCGTAGAATCAGCTGAAATGAAAAAACCAAGTGTCATTTTAAAATAGACATCTTAATACAGGTACTAAACCTCAGAACTCATGTGTAGGCAGAGTTAATCAGTTTAAGAAATTCCCTCTGTTGAAGGAAAATGTCAAGTGTTTTGAACACTGCAATTTTATTTTTTAGTGTTCTTAATAACATCAGATAAGAAACCTGGACTAATTTGAGCTGTTTTTTAAAAAATTTGATTATATTATATAAGACAGATTTATTAGGAAAACAATGCTAAAAATCATTTTGTCTAAAAGGTTTAAATTTTAAAAGATTGAGAGTAGGTCTCAAACATAAATGCTGACAATAGTATAATGGGATTTTTAGTTAATCTTTATTAATAATAAATGAAAAATATATAAAATTCCAAAAAGACATAATGCAATAAGTGATATCAAATAACAATTTCTATTATTGAGCATTAAGTTACAAGACTTTCAGTAAAAAATAAAAATACATAAAAGTAGGTTAGAGAAGAAGTGTAATAATATAAAGTATTATGTCTATAATGCGAATTCTAAAAAGTATTTAGCGTCGTTACATATATATTAAAAATTCATCTAATTTAGAACTACTGATCTGTAGTGAAAGGTGCCATATAAAATAGAAAATTATCTTGTTCGTATATACATATTTAATAAATTTTTGAAAGTGAATAACTTTATAACTAGGGTGATTGCACTGATCAGTTAAGCTTATTAACTTTCTTATTTTGATTTTGAATGCATATAGGTTCTTTTGGATGTAAAAATTAGGCTAATCTTTACTAGTTGTATAGTATGAATAAAGAAGCACTCTCCTGTAGTTTGCTTTTTAGGACGTACTCTAAAATATGCATGTAAATAGAATGTATAATTTTACATTTTTTTCAGAATTTATAAAATAATCCACCATATATATGATTCTTTTTCAAATGTCGCAATGCAATATGATTCTATACAATACACTATCTTAAAGAATTCGATAAATAGTCGGCACAAAAGTTAGTCTAATTCCATTATTTCGTATATTTTATTAATGTGATTAATTGCGAAAAAGTCGCATTTTTTTAAAATAGTCAAAAAAAGTCATAATATCCGATACCTGATATTACAAATGTTTTGATTTTAAATTATTGGCAATTGTCCTTCAAGTAACAATTTCATAAAAATTTGCACAGATTAAAATTAGAGATGAAATGGAAAAATAAACTTGAGTCACAACTATTTGTTGAACTATAAAATAAATTGAATACTACTTTTTATTAATTTTTAAAAATTAACAATTACTTTATTATTAAAATTTATTTTGTAAATCATAATATACATTGTTTTATTATTTTAATAACATATTTTATTTGCCTATGATAATATCATTATCATTCATATGAGATTCAGATTTGAAGGTTAATATTTCCATAATCATTAAACTGCTACTGCTTCAATGTTTTTTACGCTTGAATTAAATTGAATGAATTTATATAAGTGATTAGTAAATAAGTAATATAATAATTATTAAAAATATAGTCAGCAAGTTAATTAATTAATTAAAAAGTTAATAAAATGTTTATTCATTTTTACAACCGTTTATATAATTCGTTTATTGCAAACAAATTATTTTTTCTAGGCCTTTATTTAAGAATTAAGAATAAATAATAAATATTAAAATATATATTAGAACTTCGTTAAATAATTATTGCCAATCAATAATTAATAAATATTAATAAATTTAAAAAACTTGCAATCTTTAAATTAATAAATATCTATTTAAATGTAAATAATTCAAAAAATCTAATTTTTAGAATTCATAAGAAAATTCTAAACTTTTGTGCCTTTTTTGTTTACCTCATAAAATAGAAAATTACCACGAATTCTATAATAGAAAACCTTCAATTTTTTTTTATTTTTAACAATAATTTCTTTTTAAATGACGTAATTCTTGAATTAATTTTGAATTATCAGCAAATTATTACTTAGAAATTATTTAATAAATAATTTTAATTAAATATTTCGAAATTAATTAAATTTTAAAAGAGTTGCGTTTACAATTTTCATAAGATTTCAATTTGAAATTTTATAAAATTTCAATTTTTAATGAATTTAATATTTAATTAGAAATTTTAAGAACTTAGATTTTTGGAAAGTTTTAATAATTCAAATTCTTCTGAAATTAGTTCAATTTTTTAATATTACATTAATTATTAAAAATAATGTATTTATATAGAAAAATTTTAGTTAAAAACACTAAAAAAATTGAATTTTTGAAAAGTTCCAAAGAAATTCAATTATTTTAAAACATTTAAAGAAAGTCTCGTCAAAATTTCAATTATTTCGAAAACTAATAAAATTCTTCACACAAATTCAATTAAATTCAAAATTTAAAAAAAAAAATTAATTATCTTTATAATTATAATAAACTTCTTCTCCTAATTTCAATTGTTATGAAAAATTTTTCAAAAGAATTTAATGATTTAAAACAAATTTTGATAAAATTCTACGCAAATTTATTTAAATATTTTCATAAATAATAAAATTTATCGCAGAATTTCAATTATTTTCGATAAAATTTTAATTTAATTCCTCGAAAAATGGAATTATTCTTAAAAATGTCTTCTTCAATTTAAAATTTGATTCAAATAATATTGCATAACATATTAAAAATGTAAATTATGAAGATTCTAAATCCCAGGTGCGAAAAGTTGGTCGGGCCATGGTCGCGCCGACCAAGTGGATAGTCGTGCCGACCTTGGCAGCCAAAGGTCGGCCGAACTAGTGAATTGTAACACCCGCCGTCCAGTGGCTGACATGGTCGGGCCGACTATGGTTGCCAAAGTCGGGCCGACCAGGGGTGCCAAAGTTTTCCCGACCATGAGAAAGAAGGTCGGCTTCATTTTGGCAACCATGGTCGTGCCGACCTTGGCAGCCAATAGTCGGCCGACCGTTTGCAAAAAATTATTAACTTTACAATTAACAGATATTAAGTGATATCTTAATATTCATTATTTATTTATTTATTTATCGCATTCATCTTAACACTAGACGCAATCTTATACATAAATACAAATTAAAATTTCTAACGCTCGCAGGGATCGAACTCGCAACCTAACGCACCGAAGTCTAACACGCTAACCATTACGCTACGCTTACATGAAAGCCTAAGAACAAAAATGAATTTATAAGCTGCAATTTAAAAAAAGAAATTTGTAATTCATAACGATTAATAAATCAGATAACGTTTATTAGTTTTTGTTTAATCCATTTTAGCTAAAATAATTAACACAAAAACTTTTAATTTCTACCATGGCAGTATAGAAATGTTTTTTAAGATGGTCGGGCCAACCGTGGCCAGAGTCGGCCCGACCAACAGAAATTAGGTTTTTTACACTCTGGCTGCCATAGTTTTACCGACCATCGGCCCGACTGAGGCCAGAGTCGGCCCGACCAACAGAAATTAGGTTTTTTTCACTCTGGCTGCCATAGTTTTACCGACCATCGGCCCGACTGAGGCCAGAGTCGGCCCGACCAACAGAAATTAACCTTTTTAAACTCTGGCTGCCATAGTTTTGCCGACCATCGGCCCGACTCAGGCCAGAGTCGGCCCGACCAACTAAAATTAGGTTCTCTAAACTCTGGCACCCATAGTCGGCCCAACCTTGGGTGGAAACAGTAACCAAAGTCGGCCCGACTTTGGCTGCCGACCTATTGGCAGCCATAGATGGGCCGACCTGGGCCCGACCTGCCAACTCTGGCGGCCGACCAAAATTCGCACCTGGGAATGTGTAATTTTGTTTTTAATTTTTGTAACAGTCGGAAATTTTTAAAAAAATTTATATTCTGAATAAATGTTGTCCATTTAAACGTTCAGAACTTGTGGTTTATTAAAAATTTTCATTTTATTTCTGGAAAATTACTGCTACATTGAAGAGGAGAAAAATAAAAAAAGAAAAGGGATGATTATTTTCCCCAATTTTAATATATATTGCTGTAAAGTAGATTTAAAAATGCATCGATTGACCTATTTGCGAATAATAATAGAGTTATTGGCTTTCAAATAAATAGTAGAATATTGAGCAGAAGCCGTGACACGCAACATATTTTATTTTCGTGGCTTTAAGAAGCACCTATTTCCTTTTTTCAAAAAACGTTTTAATCTATTATCATTTTATCCTAAAGTTTCAAATGAACGACGATATTTCTGTGACCTCTCAATTTACATTCTTTTATAAAAAAAAGATTGTTTAAAAGTTAAGGGAATTTATTTTTTAATTTTTAGTAGCTACATATACATTGAGTACAATAAGTTTTAATAAAACCTAAATGTATTTATTTGCAAATTGTAATTTTTTGAGTCGGCAGTTTAAAGGCGCTAATTTCGCTTATGCACGATAACTTGAAAAAAAATTTGACCGACTTTATTCAAACTTGGCATACATTTCAACAACTCTATTATTATTTTCTATTTCAATTTCAATGGATTGTTAAAAGGCAAACTATTTTTTAAATTTATAGTCCTTTAATCATCTAATAAACATTTTTTAACGGAAATGGTATAAATAAAAATTCTAAAAATGTTACAAGTATGATAAAATTTTACAGACTTTACTTGAATCAGAAGGACGACAATAAATAATTTTAATAATTTATTTATTAACAATCTTTAAAAGTTGCAGAGATTGGCACCTTTCTACATTTTTCAAAAAAAAGTAGTAAAATTTTAAAACATTTTTAATCAAGACTTTAAATTCTAAAATTCAATTAATTTACATTTCAATTAATCTTGATTTTAATTTGTTGAAACTTTCGTCGATTAAAATCTCAGTTAACTTTTTGAATTTAATTCGTCATAATTTTTAACCTTTGGAATTGTAATTCATGTGGTTTTTAATTAAGCACATATTCATTTGCTCTAAAATTTAATTTATCCTAATTTTAAACAATTTAAAATTAATCTTAATCAATTTCAAATTCAATCATTTTCACAAACCGGTTTTTTTCTGAAATATAATTTTTATGAATTATATATATTTTATGCATAAAAATATTTAGAAAAATAGTTTCAAAAATAGATTTACGTTTCTGTAAATTTTCGATGTTCCAGAAATTGTGAACGTTTAAAAGAAGGAATTATTTTTTTGATATAAATAAATTTTCAATAAAAAATCAAAAAATTAAATGAAAAATTTTCAAAGTTTACAAATATTGTTTTCTTTTTAAAACTTGACGCAACATTGTTAAAATAGAATTTCAATTTGAAAAATAAATAAATTTAGTTAATTTAATTTAATTAATTTACATATTTTGTTCGAAGATAATTGAATCCTAAAAAATTATGATAAAAACAATTTTAAGAATTATTTTTTTTAAATATTGTTATTTTTCGAAAATAATTGAATTTCTTAAAAGAATTTTTGTATAATTTAAAAAACACTAATTAAGGTTTCGAAGAATTTTAATTAAAAATTTTGAACATGATTCTTGTTTCCAAAATGTTAAAAATAAGTTTGGAGTCAAAACTAAAATAACTGAGAATCGAAATTATAAATAATTATAGAAATGAAATTAAATAAATTATTAAAATTAAATATTTTTTATTTTAGTTACAATAATTGAAATAAATAATAAAATAAATTAAGTTGAGATTAAAATACTTATAAAATATTAGAAATCCAATTTTTGTAATAAATTAATTAACGACAAAAATATTAAAATTTAAGTTAAATAAATTTACACTACTTAACATTGGCATTAATTAATGAAAATCATTAAAAAACATTTCGTATGAACTATAAAAATTCTCTAAGTCAGTTACTTTGTTTAAACTATTATTTCCTTCCTTTTTTATAAAAAACATTTCTGAGAAAAGTCTTTTACTATCAATAAGCGTAGGTTCAATATCTAACACTTCAAATTCATCCCATTTTATAAAATGTGGAACGGAATCATTTTTGAAATTTGTCAAGTGGTTACTAATAACATTGATATTTTACATTTATTTAATTCAATATTACTCTTGTGTTTTTTAATGCGAATATACAGTAGGTAATGGTCTTTTTGTTTGTCCTATATAAGATTTCACACAACTGCATTTCAATTTATATACACAGTTTGACAGTTGCATTGATTATGTCTCTTAAGCTTATCCTTTTTAATAAACTTATTTAGTTTTGAATTAACACTGAAAATTGTTTGAATATTAAATGTTTTCAATAATCTCTTTATGTTTTCTGAAATTGATCCATAATATGGAAAAACTATCTTTTTATACTTATAATGATTGACGAATGTTAAAAAAAACTTTTTTGTATATTGTTTACTTTATATTTTTATAGGCTCTTAGATTTCGGAACGTTGGAGTAAACCAATTTTTTAAAAATTAATTTGTCCGAATGTTTTCGTTTATTTTCCTTCATCTATAATTAATATTTCTCGGACGTAAAAGATTGATTATAAATTAAAATTCTAAAAAATTTTAATGTTTGTATTTTTCGTACTTATGTACTTTAATTTTCGGAAATAATTGAAAATAATTCATTATTTTTTTCAAAAATTAGAATGAATAAATGTTAAGAATTGATTTTTTAAAAAATATTTTAATATAATTTTCATTAATTATCATTTTTAATAATTAATAAATTTACATTTAAAGATTTTTTATTAAAACTTCTGAAAATTGAATTATTTTCTAATTGAAAATCACAAGTAACCTATAAAGTATTTCAACTAATTTTTTCCCTCCACATTTTTAAAGAAAATATGACTTTTATAATCCACAGCTGATGAGTTATTGACATTCAAAAATTGGCCTATTTTAATAATCTCTATAAGGAAGCAAGAAATTAGAAGAAAAAAAACATTTTCTCAAAAATTTATATCCAAGATATAAATCTCAAAGCGTTTGGTTAAAATTACATATTTCGATTCAGGAATGTGACTAAACTGGGTAGAATCTAGAATGTTATTCTTGCCAGTTAAATTGGTACCATTTCAACAAAGACAGAGAGAGAGAGAGAGAGAATATGAGGAATTTTTGAGAAAAAAGTTGAAGAAAAGCTAAATTTGAAGGAGATTTTTAAAGATGTTATTAATTGGTCAGGTGGGAAATTCATGCAGAATATTGTGGGCAACGTAATAGAGAGCAACTAGCGTTATTCAGATATGTAAACTTGTTGAAAATGTCAAGAACAATCCTGACAACACTACGCTCCTGTTGCTCCGCCATCATGAATACCTCATTATCATGAGAGGAGTGACGTCAGAGTCCCCGCCTTCAGATTCCTCTCAAGCGGAATTCCACCGTTAACATGATACATGAAACTCACGTAAAATCAACACAAATTAACCAATGGCACTTTTTCATCAAAACCATATACACTTTCCAACACTTATCAAAACTCAATTGCACCTATTCTCCGAAAACTTCATTTCATGTTGTTTCTCTCTCTTTCTCTCTCACTCAAGTGTCCTTCATGTTAATTGAATAAGCGATCATTTCACTATTTATTATTTTTCGGGACACAAACACTACTGAGGCACTTGTCATTAAATTCTTTATCTGATCTTATCCTTGACAAATATTCGACTCACTGTATTGGATAGAGAAACATTATACAACATTTTCATGTCTATCGCAACTTGTTAAAGTTTTCGTTTTCTCAATTCTCACTGTATTTAAAATATTGAAACACGCTTTCACTTGTCACTGATGGAAAAGTTGTCCGTTGGGGCACAATTCGGTACTTGTTGAAGTAAGGCACAGATTCGTTTTTTTTATATTCGAGGATTTGTTTTGGAAGCACTCGCCAGCACTCGCACAACTTACGAGAGAGCACGAATTCCGACGACTGTATCGGCAGCTACTCGCAGCATGTTTAGTGTTCGAAACATGCCTGACGAACGAACGAACGTTCATGTGCGCTTGGCAATGCTTGCAGCCCCTCTACCTTCCCCCGCCTCTTCACCTAGTAATGGTTCAAACGCCAAAAACAGCTTCCCCCGACCCTCGAGTCGAGTCCAAAAGCTTTTCCATCTCACTCACTCACCCACTCCGTTAAAACCGTTTCTCCTACCACTGCGCATATGCTCTCGTGTCTCTGACCGCTGTGCACGAATAGCAACGAATAGGGCCGTAGTTACGATCTTCAACTATCGAAACGGGGCCAATTCCGACATAACCCACCAAATGTCAAAGAAAACCAATCCGCTTCAATTTTTTTTTATTGGGTTCATTCACTTTTCTGTCAAGAGACACCCCCACCATTCCATTTGCTTTAATAAAACGAAATCCAATTATTTTAAATAAACTGCTATAGTACAACTAATGAGTTTTATTGAATTTAGTCTAGAAGAGTAATAGAATAAAATTCAACTCCAGGCTCATTAATTTAACCGCAGTTAGTGGTACTTGTGAGGGGTTCGGTATCACTTAGTACGCGTCTGACATATGAGAATATTGTTAAATACAAAATGAAGAATCCAATATGGCGGACATATTTTTCAAAAATGATTAAACCCACACTTGTACAAGATATTCGTGGATATCCTGATATTCTCTAAATAGGAAATGATTTTAAAAAAATTTTAGTTTATATTTTTGAGAAAATAATTGAATATTTAAAACGTTATAACAGGAATTTTAAGAATTAATTAAATTTAAAAGATTTTTAAATTAAATTTTTTGAAAAAAGGGAAGTAAAAGTATAAAAATATTAAAATTTTTATTTTAAAAAATTATTAATAACATTTTTTTTTAAATTCTTAAAGTTTGGAGTAATTTTACCTATTTAAAAATATTCTAAAAAAATAATTGAATTTTGGAAGAATTACAGTTAAAATTTTTAGAAATAATTAAATTTCAAAAGGTTTTTCATTGAAATTATAGGAATTTTGTTTAACAAAAAGTATTCAAGTTTTGAATAATTTAATTTAGAAATTCCGAAAAAATTTGTTTTTTAAAAAATGTAATAATTATTTAAAAATAATTGTATTTTCGAAAATAATTTAAAAAATTGTAATAATTTTAAATTTTGTCAAATTTCATTGAAATAAATTTTTTATTTTAATGAATTTTATTTGTTTGCTTTTCAAAATTATTTTGAAATATAATCGTATTTTTGAAGAATTCTATAATTGAAAGTTTGAAAAATAATTAAATTTTAAAAAAATTTAGAATTAAATTTATTATCAATTTTTGTTATAGGTATAGGTATATTTAAAGAAAAACTCTTAGAAAAATTATAATTTCTAAAAAATAAAGAATTTTCATTAAATTTCAAAAAAAATCTTTTGAACCCAATGGGAAATGCCAGTGTAGTGCCGATGTTCACCACTGGCTTAGTACTCAGACGATTGTTCGGCGTAGTCTAGCCGAGCCTCGACAATCAGTGCTGGCGCAGTACAGAATTTTTGTTTCGCCAAAGCTTGGACAAGCCACGGCGGCAAGTGCTGGCTGAGTATAGAAAAATTGTTCACAACGCTCTTTGCCAACATTGCTTTTTTGACATAAACTTGAAAAAAATTATAAAAAAAGTTTATAAATGTTTATAAATTTATTGAAAACATTAATATTTTACTTTTCAGTTGTTCATTTTTTATTCTTGTCAAATTTAATAATAACAATTTAACACAATTGTCTAATTTTGTAAATAATAAATTATTTAAACAAATTAAAATTATAAACAAAATTTAAACTTTAATCTCAATAATAATTTGGTTCCTATTAAAATACTATTATACTTCTTACTATGAATAAAAAATTATTAAAAAATTACCACGTAATTTAAGAATTACGTAAAATGTTAAATGCAATAAAAGTAAAGTAATTTAATTTAATTTTTAAAAATTTAGTTTAATTTATTTTATTTCAATTTATTATTTCTAACGTATCCCTATTTTTTTCTCATCTTTGACTCAATAATTGTATGTCTGAATGATACTGAGATATTAAAATTTTACTGCACACACGTGTCGTTAGCATAGAGGTTAGAGCGTTAGTCTGTTAGTCCGTAGGTCGTAGGTTCGATTCCCCTCGTCAGCAATTTTGTTTATTTTCATAGGTTTGCGATATTTCTAGGTTCCAATCGTTAGGTACTAAAATATGAAAATCTAATGCACACTTACTGTAATTGTTTATTATTTAATTTTTAAATGTTATAAACAATTTTTTTTACTTCATTTACTATATCCATATTGTTAGTCTCCATCTTTAATACAATTTCTTTAAGAAGAGAAATATTTTATGAATAATAACTATTTATTAATATTATTTACCATTTTGTTGTTAAATTATTTATAATTATGAATTTACGACTAATTAATAGCAATACGGCATTTATTGCGGCAATATTCTCAGCCAGCACTGGTCCAGTGCTGCGCCAGCGCTGTCTGGCAGCACTGACAGACAGTACTTCGGCAGCGCCGGACGGCGTTATCATCCCAGAGTTATGCCAGTGCTGGCTCTCAGCCTTGCCGCCAGTGCTGCCAGTGCTGGCGCAGTACTACGCCAGTTGTAAATTTCCCATTGGGAAGTAACATAATGACAATAAAAATTACACACGTGCTTATAATTATGCTAGTTTTCAAAAGTAATAAAATTCTTGGCAAAAATTCAATCATTTTCAAAAATTTTGATTAAATTCTACGTAAACATTTAATTATTTTTATAAATAATAAAAATTTCATAGGAATTTAATTGTTTACAAATTTCTTTTTTAATTTCTTAACAATAATTCCATTATTTGTATAAATATAATAAATTTTTTTACAGGGATTCAATTATTTTCATAAATAATAAAATTCTTTTTAGGAATTCAATTATTTTCATAAATAATAAAGCTCATCGCAGAATTTCAATTATTTTTAAAACAATTTTCATTTATGAGATTTTTATTTTCACACGTACTTTACCGTAGTCTTTAATAAAAAAAATTAAAAAAGTTGTTAATTTAGTGCTAGTTTCTTACAAAAAGTTTCTTAAAATTGAATTTTCATAAAGAACCATGTTATCAACAAATTTTTAAATAATTAATTTCTCTTGACAAATTTTAATAAATTTTTTAAGAATAATTTCATTTTTCGAGAAATTTGATGAAAATTTTCTTAAAAGTAATTTAAGTTCTGCCTAGAATTTTAAAAAAATTTTTGAAAATAATTGAATTTTGGAGAAAATTTTTGTTATTTATGTAGATAATTGGAATTTTGACGAGAAATTTTGTGAATTTTTTAACATAATTGAATTTTTGAGACGAATTTTATTAAATTTTTTTTTTAAATAATTGAATTCTTTTGTGAAATTTTGATTAAAATAGTAGAAAAAATTGAATTGTCACAAAGAATTCCATTAAAATTGTATTGAAAGTCTGCGATGAGTTTTATTATTTTTAATCTTTTTAATAATTGAATTCCTGTAAAAAATATTACTTATGAAAATAATTTTTAAATAATTGAATTCCTTGGAAATTTTTATTATTTATGAAAATAATGAAATGTTTGCGTAGAATTTTATTAAATTCATTGAATTGAGGATAGTTTTTAAAAAAAATTAATATTTTTGAAAATAATTTAATTTCTAAGAAGAGTTTTAATACTTTTAAAAATAATTGACACAATAACTTTAGAATACAACAATTTTCCAGGATTTCGATCAAGATTCCCTGATTTTTTCAGGTTTTTTCAAGGTTTATAAAATTCCCTGACATTTCCAGGTTTCCTGGCGTTCAAAAAAAAATTACGTAATTTTTCAAAAATTTGTATCTTTTAAATCGCTTTATAAAAAAAATAAAAAAAAATCATAGCAAAAGCAAAATGTTGTCCGATTTTTTCTGAGGGAATGACCAATAAAGTATAAGTTGAGATAAATAAGAATTTGGTGAATTAAATACTGTTAAAAATCTGTTGATCTCTAGATAATTTGATAACAACATTTTTTATTGTACTTAACTTTACAATGAAATGAAGTTCATATAACAGACCTAGCGCTCTAGGAGCGATCACGTGCGCAAGTATAATAATATAAATACAAATTTTTTTACAAATTTCGGTAAGATATTCGTAGACTATAAATAACATCACATTCAACTGCGATTTATGTGTCAATTATTAAGATTCGTCTGGAAATAACGCCTTTTTGATTTCGTCCTCTAATTGTTGGTTCTTTAATTTTTGATCTTGTAATTGAACCCCAAATGTTTCTAGTTTGTCGAATACGGCTGTCATTTGACTCTGTGAGCTTTTAGAAATTTCTTTCACTGGATGAATATGATTCATTGTCAGCGACTGATCCATGTAATCGTCCATATCTGACTCGTCGACTAAAGATGCAGAAATATTTCTCGAGTCGTTTGCCACTTCATCATTTCCCATTTCCCAGTCAATTAAGGGTTGAAAACTATAATTTAAAAACACAGTCGATTTAAACCACCAAGGCAAAGTTCGAAAGTGTTTAATGTGATTGCGATTGTAAACAACTTTCAACTCTTCCTTCATCAAGTCAATTTTCTTATTAATTATCAGCAGCAAAATGTCGGGAAAGTATACACGTGGACTAGAATCAATCAGTACAAATAAGTTGTTTAGAATGTCGCTGATCGACACATCGTGACTGCAATCCGCCATTGCCTCAATGCAGAAATTCCTGATGGCTTTTTGAAGATGCGTTTTGTCATAAATCGGCCATGACTCCCTGAAATATAGAAATTCAATCTTAATTAAAATGGACCAAACACTAAAGACAATAGTTGGAATGAAAAAATTATTCTCAAAAATTTAAATAAAATTCTTAAAAACAATTCAATTAAATGTGTCCACCAACGACTTTAAATATCTACTATTTTAATAAAAAATTTCCCCAAAGAATTCAATTATTTAAAAAAATTTTTAATAAAATTCTTTGCAAACATTCAATAATTTATATAAGTAAATAAATTTTTATAGGAAGTCAATTTTATAAAACACAATATTCATAAAATTTTTCGAAAAGAATCAATTATTTAAAAAGATTTTTATAAAATTCTTCGCAAGAATTCAATTATTTTCAAAAATATTAAAATTCTTTGCAAAAATTCAGTTATTCTAAACAATTTTGATATAATTTGTTTATCAGAATTTAATAATTATTTTCAATACATTTTTAATTCAATTTATTGAAAGAATTTAATTATTTTCAAAAATTTTAATGAAATTCTTGGTAACAATTCAATTATTTTCAAAAAATTCTTTAATTTCTTTGTAGAAATTTAATTTATTTCAAAAATTTGTCGAAACTCAATTATTTTCAATATCTACTATTTCAATAACATTTCACAAAAGAATTCAATTATTTAAAAAAAAAAAATTAATGAAATTCGTAGCAAGAATTCAATTATTTTCATAAATAATGAAAATTTCACAGGAATTCAATTATTTACAAATTTTTTATGAATTTCTTCGCAATGCCACTATTTTTATAAAAAAGTAAATTTACTTTTAGGAATTCAATTATTTTAATAAAAAGTAAATCTCATCGTTGGAATTTAATTATTGTTAATACAATTTTTCTTGAATTCCTTGAAAAGTGCAATTATTCTTAAAAATTGTTTGAAATTTGTCAAAAGAAATCAATTATTTAAAAATTTGTTGATAAAATAAAATTCTTAATGAAATTTCTTAAAATTGAATTGTAAACAAATGAATTTGAAAATTGTCAAAGAACTTTGTCAAAAATTATTAAAAATAATTGATTTAAAGAATAATTTTAGTTAAAAACATTAAATGAAAACTACAAATAATTGCAGAAATTCAATTATTTTCAAAAGAAATGAAATTCTTCGCAGAAATTCAATTATGTTCAAAAATTTTTTTAGATTCTCGTTAAAATTGTTATTATTTTTTTAAATGAAAATTCAATTATTTCCAAAAATTTCAATAAAATTCTTGGTAAAATGTCCAATTATTTCAATTAAATGTATAACATTTCCAATTAAATAATATTCCAATTATTTTTAAAAAATTTCCTCAATTCAATGATTTTCGATATCTACTACATAATTTGATAAAAAATTTTCCAAAAGAATTAAATCGTTTTTCAAAAAATATTTATAAAATTCTTTGCAAAAATTCAATTCTTTTTATAAATAATAAGATTTTTTTTAAGAATTCAATTATTTTTAAAAATTTTAATGAAATTCTTCGTATTCAATTATTTTCAAAAGTTTGTTAAAATTTAATTATTTTCAATAAAATTTGCCAAAAGAATTCAATTATTTGAAATAAAAATAAATAAATTTTGATGGAATTTAGTTATTTTTAAAAAGTTTAACAAAATTTGTTGATAGAATTCACTAATTTTTAAAAGTTCTAATAAATTCTTTAGAAGAATTCAATTACTTTTAATACAATTAATTACAATTGTTAATTAATTATGTAATTAACTCTTATACGAACTTAAATTTTATTTTTTTATTTTTTATAATTAATATTTTCACAGAAAATCAATTACTTAAATAATTTAAATAAATTTCAATTATTTTAATACAATTTTTAAATAAATACCTCAAAAATGCAATTATTCTTGAAAATTTTCTTAAAATTCTTCGAAAGAATTTATTTAATTTAAAAAATTTTGATAATGTTCTTTATAAAAAATATTTGTAATATTTTAACAAAATTTGTTGTTAAAATTCACTTATTTTTAAAAATTGTGATAAATTTTTTAGAAGAATTAAATTGTTTTTATTATAATTTTAATTAAATTTCTCGTACCAATTTAAATTTTCTTCGAAACCATTGAATTTACAATTTTACAAATTTCATTTTTTTATTTTCATAAATAATCAAATTTTTACAGGAATTTAATTATTTAAATAATTTAATTTAATTTAAATTATTTTCAATAGAATTTTACATAAATATATTATATTTATATTTATATAAATATTTTAAAATGATTGAATTTTGGAAGAATTACAGTTGTAATTTTTTAGAAATAGTTACATTTTGATTGAAATCATAATATTTTAACTTCCGGAAAAATAAATTAAATATTTATGAAAAAAAATACATTCTATATAGAATTAAGATTTTTACCTCCATTGTGGTATAATTAATTGTTTCACAAATCTCTCCACTGTTTCTCTGTATTCAACATTTTTCCAAACATCATCAAAGTATTCGTAACTACATGGTAAATTGAAATTCTCCTTTAGCGTTCCTTTTATTTCTGGGGAGAAATCAGTGTACAAAAGTGATTCTTGATCGAGTATTATTTCCATCACATGTGTAATTGCTTCTGTATGCAAATTTATCACAAATTGCGGATCTTCGAGGGCATTTTTCAATTGACTATTATATACAGAATGGCCTTCAAGTCTGAAATAAGAGCAAAATTTAATAAATAATAATAATTAAATAATAACAAATTTTTGGCGAATCGCAGAACCTCATAAGATCAGATTTGGATTCAGTAAAAAACCTTAGGTTTTTTACTGAATCAAAATCTGATCTTATGAGGTTCTGCGATTTTAGAACCAATGGTTCTAAAATTCGCCAAAATTTGTTCAGCCAGTGTTATTTAATACAAAACATGAAAATACATACCTGAACCATAATTCTTCCATTAAACAATCTTTGAGAACCCTCTTCAGATAATCCATTTCCAAAGGCACTTGTGGAGATTTATTTACTGCAAGCCATAAAACAGCACTTTGCGTCAGTTTAACAATCGCATTCTCATCGATTGTATTCTCCAAAATAATTGTATATTCAGAAACAAAACCCGTATCCATTAAATTTTCCAAGTCTGGCGTAATATCAATAGCTTCCGGTTTGATATTACCGTCGTGGAACAATATAACTACCAAAGGTATCGGCATTAATTTATTCTTTGACAAAACAGTTTTCGTCAGTCTTCTCACAATTGATCTCGATTCTTCCGACGTAGAGGCAATAAACATCAATGCGTCCATTCCCGTTAAATTCTCCTCACTAATCACTCCTTCGAAATTCCTAATGCAGACATGTAACGTTTCGTAAGCGTTCGGTTGAAAGTTTTTCATAATCGGATCGCCAGCTTCATCACTGAAATAACCACTTATCACTTTTTTGCGTTGATACAAAACCACTCGGTTCTCCAGTTTCGGCCACGAAATTGCCAGTTTCCAAAACATATTCGGACAACATATTCGGGGTTCACTGTTGAATGATTTTATGTTCTCCTTGATGCCGGCGTAGATGACGACTTCGATCGGAACTTGGTTGTGCGGTTGATGATTACTCGGGGATAATTTCAAACGTTTTCGGCACATGTTCTCTATGACTGCGTCCTGTTGCTTGCAGTAGAGGGACTTGGCGCATGCTTCTAGACTCTGCTTGGGTAGCCAGATGGGAGTGTTGTCCAGAGCCTTTCGTCTAGATCTCTTCTTGTTGACGTACCTTCTCCAAAGTTTGTAGTACTTGTCGGAAATTCTCCGCTTTTGCTTCCTTCTTATTTCGCTCACCGCTTCTTGAATGAATTTTTCCTCTCTGCATGTTTCTTCACAAGTTTCTTGAACAATATCTTGGAGGATATTTTCAAAAATATCTTCCGTCCACGCTTGGTAAAGAATTTGTAATTCGGCCTTAATGATCCTACCGCAGATTTCGTCAACCACTTCAAATAGATGAGAAAGGTACAAATTCTCCGCCTCTGCTTCGATTTGTCTCAATTTCGCCTCTTCTTGTTCCTTTCTCTTCTGTTTCGCCTCTTCCTCTTGTTGTAGAATCTTCTCCTTCGATTCTGTCTCCTTGTCTTCCTCTTCCTGTTCGTCTTCCTTCGGAGTTTCAGCACTTGCAGCATGGAAAAAGAAGGGTTTCACCGGTTGTACAGATTTAAAGGGGGAAGTTTTCGTCGATCCGGAAAATATGTCCTTATTTACAACGTTACTGAAGGCGAAAGTTTTATTCTCGGTAGCAAAGGTTTGGAAAGACGACTTCGAAAAATCGACCGAAGTGAAGGGTTTTTTGACCGAATTGGTAAAGGAAAAGGTTGTCTGTGCGGCAGTTTTCGTCGAATCGTTGACTTTGTCGCAAAAAGGATTAAAGTCTAGTTTACGCTTGTTGGCACTATATGTTTCTTTAAAAGGATTTTTCACCAGAACTTCCGGACTCTCAGAAACTTCTGGTGAAAAATCGTCAACATCCTCTGTAAATTCGTAGGGGTCCTTCTCATCAACTACTGGAACCTTTTGATCTTCAGCCTTGAGCGATTCCTCCAGAAGATAACCTTGCGAGTCGAAACTGTCATGAGGTTGATGGTTTTTGTACGACTGTCCAGGAAGAGATCCTCCCGCGATGCATTGACCAACCGAAGAATAACGCGCGTGTCGTTTGCTCTCAATTACATTGAAGGCTCGTGCTTGCTCGACAGTGTGTTCCGAAGAGGCGAAGTGCTCCCTATTCAGCATCACGTACAGTTCGTCCTGAGACAAACTGAGTCCGACCTGTTCGCAGAAGTAAACAGCCTCCCTCTCGTCCTCGAAGGCTAGAATGTCAATCAGTTCATAAAGTGGGTAAGGATACGGTTTCGTGATCGTTCTGCAGTAGGCCTTCACCATCACGGACAGGGCGGTAATTCTCACTTGATTGAAGTACCTCAGCAAGATACTAGCATTCATATAAGTCGTCCTCCGCAGCAATTTAAAGAACTTAACGTAATTGTTCGACACAATAGATGAATAAACCTCAATCGCGAATTTCACCTCCGGCGACTTTTGTATCGACGACGGAAGTTTCTGGAGGTCCCACATAAAACTTCCGTTATTTAAATTCAGCAAAATGATGTAAGCCCTGAATTCCGGTTCGTTGATGCAGCTGATTCCTTTCAACATCAGATCGTTATACATATACTTGAGAGTCTGCAAGCACTTTGTCAAGTTTTCGGTGTTTATTTTCTTGTCGAATACGTTGGACTCTTCGGTGCAGAGACGTTCGGAGGAGAGAATGTGGAAACGGGCGCACTGCTCGACGAGTTCGACACTGTCGGGGCAGCAGAGTTCCTGTTGGGTGATGTCCTTCCGGATACCTCGCGTTCGGTCCCAGAGGAAGTGGTACCACTCTGCTAGGTTCGTGTCCTTTCTCTCGCACAGATCGACGATTTCGTGGAGCAAGTAACTCATGGTCATCTTTAGGGACTTGACGGGTCTTAGTTCGTGAGGCATAGGCTCCTCCTGATCGGCGGATGATCTCGAGTACTGCTTCACCGCCGTCATGTGGTTTATCTTCTGGCCATTGTTGTCCGACTGCTCGTAGAAGGAGACTTGCCGTTGGGTCTCGCGCATGAGTCTCTCCTTCTCTGGACACATGTCCGGACAAGTACCCCTTGTAATCTGCGCCGTGGCTAGACTAATCGACTTCGCGTTTCTCAACCTCATCAACTTATCCCTGGCTTCTAGAATTTTGTACTTATCCTCGCTGGTGAGTGCCGCCTGGCGAATGACGTACTGCAGCTCCTCGACCGTCGCTTTAGGAACGGAAGCCCCAATTTTCTCCACTTTCGCCGTATTCACTTTGTCCAGACGCGAAGGTACTTTATCGTGTTTCAGTTCTTTCGGTTTCGCTACTCTTAATTTTGTGATGCACGTCAATTGTTTCATCTCGGTCGGGGTCTCTTCATGAAGATTGTATTCCAAATGCTTAAGTGCTTCTATTTCATCCTGAAAACTATCGTCGTTCGCCTTGAGAATACGAGATACAGTCGAAGTGTCTGCTTTCTTGACGGGAGATTTAACCACTTCGTTGGTCCACTGAACGTTAAATTTCTCGTTCAGGAACAAACCGCATTTGTAATATGCAATATTCGCCTCGCCTTTTGTCACATAAAATACGACAATAGATTGCTTCTTTGGTCGAATCAAAATTTTTGAAATGTCTCCGAATGTTGAGAAATGCTCTTTAGCAACTACTTTATCGAGAAGTGATTTAGGAACCATTGTACAGGTGATTGAATTTTCGATGTTGTTCTTCTGTTGTTGAGATTTTGTATTCTTTTTCAATTGTTCGTAAGTATGTGATCCTGTAACAAAAAATTGAGATTTACAAAATCCACACAGAATTATTTCCAACAGTTGATTTAGTTCGTTATTTGCAAATTAATTTATTTGAATCATGAATTCTATCAAATAAACAATTCTTGCAAATAAAAATTCAGGCAAATGAAGAGTTGTTGCAATGAATATTCTATCAAACATAAATTTAATTTTAAAAAAATTGCTAAATATCTAAATTATTTCAAATTGCAGTTGCAAAATTTTTATAAAAACTCCATTATTTAAAAAAAATTCAATTAAATTTTTTCAAAAAAAGTAAATTTTACAGATTTGTTAGTTAAAAGTACGAAAATTCAGATTTTCAAAGATTTTAATTTGAAATCTTTTTTAAAAATTCAATTATTATTTCTAAAAATGCATGCTATAATGCCTTTTTTCATTCAATTATTCTCTAAAATTTAAACTGAAATTCATGTTTAAATCAATTTTTATTAGAAAATTCTACGAGCATTCAATTATTTAAATACAAAGATAAATAATTAATTGATTAATTGAATGTTTCTCAAAATTGAATTCTCAAAGAATTTTATCAACAAATATTTAAATAATTGAATTTTTTTGACAAATTTTAATTAAATTTTTAGAAACAATACATGTTTCGAGAAATTTGATTAAAATTGTAAAAATGATATTAAAAATCATTGAATTGAGGAAATTTTTTGAAAACAATTGAAATTTGGAGAAGAATTTTATTATTTATAAAGATAATTGACATTTTGACGCGAATTTTTAAAAATTTTTGAACATATTGAATTTCTAAGAAGAATTTTGTTACTTTTGAAAATAATAATTAGAATTTCTGCAAACATTTGTAACTTCTCCAAAATTTAATTTTTTTTTTTAGTATTTTTAACTAAAATTCTTCGATAAATACATTATTTTTAATAATTGATTAAAAATGTATTAGAAAATTAAACTAATTTCAGAAGAATTTGAATTATTAAAATTTTTCAAAAATCTAAGTTCTTTAAAATTTCTAATTAAATTCATTGAAAATTGAAATTTTATAAAATTTCAAATTAAAACCTTTCGAAGTTGATTTATTTCTGAAAGTTGTAAACGCAACTCTTTTAAAATTGAATAGTAAAATTATTGTTCATCATATAATTTCTAATTAATAATTTTATGATAGTTTTTCAAGAATTAAGTTATTTAAAAAAATTATTGTCAGGGATAGAAAAAATTGAAGGTTTTTATTAGAATTCATGGTAATTTCATACTTTATGAGGCACATTAAAAAGTTACAAAAATGATTTTTGGTTTTTTTAAATCGGTTCAGTAGATTTCGAGAAAAGTGTCTCCTCGTTTTGAAAAATGTGTTTTCGAGAAAAGAGAGTTTTAAGTTTTCGTAACGAATAACTATGTTAATTGTTAAGACAACGTTCCTAAAAATTGCTACAACTTTTTCTCTTTTGCATATTTCTTCAAAAATATTTTCGAACAGTAATTTTATGATACTAAAGAATATTTTAAAGCAAAAAAATCGGTTGTTTTTAAATCCTTGACCAGAAAAACTCTCCTTTAAAATATTTGTTTAAGCGTCCTACATCGACAATATTTGTTTTTACCAAACATGAATCAACTAAATCATTATTAAGAAACCGATTTATATTACAATAAAAATGACTATACACTACCTTTGAGAGCCTGTGTAAAGACGTTGACAGGAGCTTTAAAGGTATTCCTTGAAATTCGTGGTTTGTATTGTTTAGTCGAACTTTGACAATCAGCATTTTTCGTTGGAGATGAACTTGTATTTTTGAACAAGTTTGTTGGAAGCGAAAATTGAAATTCGTCATCGATGGGAGTACGCGGTGATATTACATGATCAGATGTAATTCCAAAATTAATAATTCTCTCAGAATTATGTACTATATTTGGTGGAGAAAAAGTAAATTTTCTCCACTCTTCATTATCCTCATTCCCCGTAGTGAAACTTTCATTGTTTTCATTTTCCATTGTTGAACAAAATAAATTTGTAATGTATATGATCAAAACTTTTCCATCACCGGTGTCACAACTTTTTTTTGTAAAAAAATTAACTATTATAATAGTAAGTAATTATAAATTAAACAATGTTTACAAAGTAGAAGGTATCTTATTTACATATACAACTCAATTATCGAGAGGTTGGAGCATGATCCAAGTAACAAGGTCTCGCCAAAGTCGGGCTCAATTTTAACTCGGTTCGCGCACCATAAAAAAGCCGACCAATCATAGCGATTACCTGAAGCGACGACCATATTGAAGCGCTAAATTTTGAATCAAATACAGAAACAAATTTAAAGAACATAAAGAATAATAAATTAAAAGTAAAATAATTCTTTATTAAATATTAATATTTTTTATTAAATACTTATTATTAACTTGATACATAACATTCACATATATTTATTTATATATTTAAAAACATTACATTTATCTCTAATGCTGCAAGAACTGAAGGGACAATTTCTTTTCAATTTTCAGTGGATAAATGATGAGATAAATTTTGAGCCAGATTAACTAAGACAACCTTTTTTTATTTTTTGTATGTGTTTATATTTTCTCTCTTTAATAAAAAATTAAACTAAAAGAATTATGCAGTCACAAATATACAGTCACATATTATTATTATGCATATCACTTTTAACTTTCAATATATATACTGAGACGAAACTCCAGTAAGGACTAAACTGCTGCGTGGCACAGATTCACTTCGGTACAGAATTTAAATCATTAAAAGGTGATTAGTTGGCCACGTTTCTAGGTGAATCAGAGTATTTTCACTCTATTTTCACCTGGAAAACCTTAAAAATTTAGGGAATATTATAAATCTGAAAGAAACCTGGAAGAGCCAGTGAATGTTGCTTGGAATCTTGAAAATCAAATTACTATTTATTGCAATATTTATTATTATTATTAATAACTTTATATTTATTAATATTAATACTAATTAAAAATAATAATTATTATTAAAAATAAAATAACATTCATAATAATTTATTAATATTAATTACCATTTATTGTAATATTTATTATTATTATTATCAATAATTTTATACGTATTAATATTAATAATAACAATTAATAATATTTATTATTAAAAATAAAAATATATTAATAACAATAACAATCTTATTTTCTGGATTTGAAACACATTTAAAAATACGCGGCTAGACTTTCAATATGGTCGTCACTTCGTCCGCATTCTGATTGGTGCTTGGTTCCACGTTTTTTTTGCCTGCGCGTGGCGAGACCTTGTTACTTGGATCATGGGTTGGAGTCACTTAGAGTAGAAACCAACACTGTGCATTTTGACATATACAACAATTAGGTTCAATTCACAATTGTTGATTTAAGATCTCATTCTCAGGTTGAGTCCACAATAGACAAATTTATCTTGACTATTAAGTAAACGCTTTCCGTTTCCCGTCTTACGCTGACTTGTGATTGCACCTTAAATCTTTTCGCTTGACCAAAATACCTGATTACATTGTGATGCACCTTTAGAACGCAAGCATAATTTAGATTTTCCGCTCAGTTGCACTGTAAAAAAATCTGGTGTAAAATAACACGAAACTTGTAATTTCACACATCGAAATTATAGGTTGTACGTAGTAAATTTATTTCGTTCCAAAAGTAGTTTTACTATTTTTAATAATTTTACATTATACGACTATGTAATTTAATAGTTTTGTGTAAATTTACTACGTCCGACGTAGGAAAATTTGATCACTATGTCCGACGTGGTATTTTTACATTGCGTGTATTTCTACACTTTGACGTAATATTACGTCGCACGATCTGTACAATTACATGGCGAATGTAATTTTCTTATTCCTTTAAGATTTTCAAAAAATTTTCAAGTTTTTATAAATAACTCTAAAAAAGTGTATATAATGTACATTTATAGAAAGTATATGCTAATTTATAAGTAAATAATAATATAACAAAAAGTTTTGGGCTATATTTCATAAATACAAAAAGTTACGACTGAAAATATTATTTCAAAAAATATTTGCAGGTTATGTAGATTACAGTCGGCGTGTAAAAATACCACGTCGGACATAGTGACCAAACTTTCCAACGTCGGACATAGTAAATTTACAGCAGATTTTTTTACAGTGTGTGATTCCACCCTAACAGACAGAGTAAACACACGAAAGCATGATCCAGATGTAAATAAAGGAATATTTTAAAGATATAAAATAGGTAAAGTTTCTATTTATTTACATTACAAAAAACTTAATAAAATTTAACAAATAAAATCCAGACACTGCGATTAACAATTTTTATTATTAAAGTATATTTAGGATATTTAGTGAAGCAATGCTGTTTTATACACATAACCTTAAACAAAAAAAGTTTGCACGCTCAGTAACATAACTTTTGTATAATATATAATTAATATATATAATTAAATTATGTTAAAATTAAAATTTAAAATAAAATTTCGAAATACTTTCAATGGAATATGAAAGTTTGAACAGCAAGTCTCACAAAGTTTAATTATTTTTTAGAATTTTTGAATTATATTATTCGAAAGATTTAATTTTTAAGGAAGCTAACAAATTAATTATTTTTAATATTTAAATATTACTATACTTTTACAGCAATTAAAATTTTCAATATTTTAATTAAAAAAACTGTTTGAAATTTAATTATTTCTAAAGAATCCTACTTTTACATTTTATAATTATTTTCAAAAAGTTTTAACTAAAATTCTTTTTCAATTTTTATCAGCATTCAACTACGAGAATTCAATTATTTAAATAAATAAATAAGTAATTCACAGAGTAATTAATTATTTTTAAAAATTAAACAACTTTTTCAAAAATTATTCAAAATAATGGATTTATAGAAAATGTTTAGTTAAAAACACAAAAAATATTCAAAAGTAAGTAATAAAATTCTTCTTAGAGTTTCAATTATTTTAACAAATAATAAAATTCATTGCAGAATTTCAATTATTTTTTATACAATTTTAATCGAATTTCTCGAAAAATGTAATTAAAAATTTTATTAAAATTCGTTGATAGAATTCAATTTTTTGAAAATTTGTTAATAACGATTCTTTATGAGAATTGAAATTTAAGATGTTTTATAGTTATGAAAAATTTAATTTAGTTTTCGAGCCCTAATTATATCGAAAGAAAATAAGATTTGATTATAGAAGTTTTTTAAATTGCATTTTCAAATTATTTATTATAATTTTTTATTTTTATTTTAATAAAAATGAAAATAGTTAATTGGAAAATATAATTGAAAATTTTTTCAGTGCTATCTAAAAGCGACAGTCGGAACAACTATGGAGAACTTAAGTGAGGAAACTATGCATAATACAAATAATCTAATCAAAGAAGGAGACTATGTTATAATCAGAAAGGAGAATTTTATGAAGGTTCACAGAGTATCAAAAAATAGTATTTTTACAATTACTAAAGATGATGTAGATACAAGTTCCATAATAGGAAAACCCTTTTGGACAACGTTTGAAATAGTCCCTTCTTCAAAAGGCGAGTCAATTAATAATCTACAACCAGTAACAAAAGCAGAGATGTTAGAGAAATTACGATTCGATTCCTTGAAGTCAGGTGTTGATAATCGACTGATTAATGATAACGGTACATCACAGCAGTTGTCGAAGCAGAAAATTCTCGATCTTCGAAAAGCCGGAAAGTCCGGAAAGGAAATAGTTCAAACTCTTATCGAAAATAGTACATCTTTCAGCACAAAGACTGAATATTCTCAAGAAAAATACATCCGAAAGAAGGGGAAAAAATATTTTCAGTACTTAACAATTTGCCGTCCAACTATTGCATTACTACAGGAACTTTACTTTCGGCAAGATTATTATAAAATTAATTCAATAAGAATGGACACATTGGCACAAATAATTTCTTACAGTGATATAAAATCGGACGGAGTGCACTTGTTATACGACAGTGGATCTTTAGGTCTAGTGGCGGCGAGTATTCTCAACCGGATCGGAGCCAACACTTCCGGTTCTCTGATAAATCTGTACCTTGGAAACGACCCTCAAAACACAGCTGTAAAGGCGATGAACTTTCCGTCCGATCTTTTAAATCGATTGACGAATCTCAACTTGAAAGACCTTATCCAGAGTAAAGAAAGAGTTGCAAAAATTCCACCGACCGAATCCAAGGAAGATTCGCCTGAAATACTCAAAACAGAGAAACAATCCACAGCAGAATCTGGAACCGAATGTGCCGAAAATAAGGAATCTAGTGAAGATAATTCACGTAAACGAAAAACTCCAACAGATACAGATACTGATCTAGAGTCTAATGTACCTCAGAAAAAATCTAAAACTTGTGCTACGAATCTTCTTAGTACTACTAAAGTCGACAGTTTGGTTATAGTAGCCAGAGAGCATCCTCTTAATATCGTTGAATTGCTTATAAATTTTGTAAAAAAGTCTAGGCCATTTGTTATATTCCACACGAATCGGGAACCACTTCAAGAAATCTATGTTCTTCTCAAACAAAAATACCGTGTAGTTAATTTAAAACTTTTTACCAATTTTTTACGGTCCTATCAAATTTTAACTGATAGAACGCATCCTGATATTTTGACAAGTAGTTGTAATGGGTATCTTCTCACAGGATATTGTACACAATAAAAAAATTTTTAATTTACAGAACTACAGTGGAAATTCGATTTTACATATGTAAACCTTTGTCACCTTGATTATATCAGGGTTGCCACAAAAAATTAATTTTATTTTTCCCTGATTTCCAGGCAAAATTTTGACCTTTTTCCTGACCCTATAGAATCTGATTCACTCTTAGAATTATTAGATATTTAAAAAATTCACTATCAAAGTAATAAGTATCAAAGTAATATTTGTTTCAAAGTAATAATAAAATGACCCAAAACTTCAACACCTGATTACTTCAAAAATAAAAATTTTTTTTTGAAAAATATTGTAGGGGGAATAAGTGTACTCATATATCTACCAAAAATCATAGATAACTTGAAAATTGAAGACAAAAATTTTTCAAGTGATCGGTTTCACTTATTTTGGCCCAAATAAGAACTTTAAATAATTAAAAAAAAAAATTCAATTAAACTTTTTCAAAAAAAATTAATTCCCAAAAATTTTTAATTAAAAGTTTGAAAAATTTCAATTTTCAAAGATTATATTTGAAATCTTTTAAAAATTCAATTTTCTCAAAAAATACATTCTATAATGCTTTTAATATTTAATTATTATCTAAAATTTTAAGATAAAACTCATTTTTAAATCAATTTTTATTAAAAAAATTCTAAGAGAATTCAATTATTTGAATACAAAAATATAATAATTTATTGGTATCCGGACAAGAAGTCCAAAACAAAAAATCCAAAGTAAAAAAAAAATAGTTTCACTTTGGACTTATTTTTTATCCAAAGAAATTAAAAATCCAATGAAAAAAATTGAGATATAAAAATTTAAATGGCTGCCTTGAATGAGATTGTTCTTTTTTTTGAGTTGCTCATTTCGATGACTGTAAATCGAAAGTAGGCAAACTTAACATTTTAAATTTCTGAAAATAATTAAACGAATCGAGTAATTTAATGGGAATTATATTAAAAAAAATAATTGAATTTTTGTAAAGAATTTTATCAAAATTGTTGGAAATAATTGTTTTAAAAATTATACAGAATAATTGAATTTTTTTGAAAAATTTTTTTATTTATGAAAATAATTGAGTTTTTGTGTAGAATTTCATTATTTATGTAAATAATTAAAATCCTGTGATTTTAGGTAACATAAGCATTTTAAATTCCGATTTTATATAGCGTAAAAAGTAAAAACGTGACTTTTTCACATCTTTCGTTATTTATTTTTCACATTTCTATTTATTTTGGATTTTTGACTTTGGACATTTTTATTTTGGATTTTTTGTACTTTGGACTTATTTTCTTGGATTTTTCGGTCTGGATTTTTTGGATTGGATTTTTTGTTCTGTAATAAATTTATTAAATAATTGAATATTTCTGAAAATTGAACTTTTTATATAATTAAATTCTTTGGACGAATTTTAATAACATTTTTAATAATAATTACATTTTTTGATGAATTCGATTAAAATTGTATTAAAAATAATTGAAATTTTTGCGATTAGGTTTCTTATTTATGATAATAATTGAATCCTTGTAGGAAATTTGATTGATTATAAAAATAATTAAATTATTGCGAAGAAATTTATAAAAAAATTTGTAAATAATTGAATTTCTGTGAATTGTTCATTATTTATGAAAGTAATTTAATGTTTGCGTAGAATTTTATCAAATTCTTTTTTTAAATAATTGAATTCTTTTGGAAAATATTATTAAAGTAGTAGATACTGAAAATCATTGAAATGAAGAAAAATTTTTGAAAATATTTTAATTTTGGAGAAGAATTTTATTATTTATAAAGAAAATTTAAATTTTGACGAGAATTATTTAAAATTTTTGAACATATTTGAATTTCTGTGAAGAAATTAAATCCGTTCAAAATTGAAATTTTCTAAAATTTCAAATTAAAACCTTTTGAAGTTCATCTATTTATGAAAATTGTAGACTTTTAAAATTCAAATTAATTTTGAAACATTGAAGTAAAATTATTCTTTAAATAATTTCTAAGTAATAATTTTATGATAGTTTTTCAAGAACTAAGTTATTTAAAAAGAAATTATTGTTTATGAGGCAAACAAGAAAGACACAAAAATTCAGCATTTTCTTTTAAATTTTAATTTAATTGTTCCTAGTATACGGGAACGTAAATAAGATCACAAGAATATCGTTTCAGTCAGTTTTGAATTTTTTTACTGTTTCTGTAAATGTTATTTACAAATTAACTAAATTATAATTTAACCCTCTGACCACTTATTGTTAGTTAGCTATTATCGACAAAAAACGACAATTATTCGGTCGCCTGGTGGGAACGATAGGAAAACAATTTGGAGAGGGAATAACTGAGCGTGGACAGAGGGTTAAAATAAACATCATTTAACTAAATAAAATTTATTAATATACAAAATAAAGAATTAATAGAAGACAATAAATAAAATTATCCACCTCTTTTCGTGTAATCGCGCAGTTATGTAGTTAAATATTTTCTTCCATACAATTGAGCCTTTTTTTCAAAACCTACGGACTTGATTGGAGTATTTATCTTGTAAAAGGGGTTCATAGAATACTGTAACAAACAATTTAAAATTCGAATTTTATAATAAGTAATAAATATTCATTTTATCCCACCAATAATCGCACGTGATTCGAATTACTCACCTTAATATAAGTTTCATACATTTCGTTAAAGAAGTTCTTAATTCCATCTTCATTTTTCCCATCGTGGACCATAATAAAACGTATTCTAGTTGCTGTCACAAACGCACTTACAAACCACTGATTAAATTTATCGACTACTTTTAAATGCATATTCGACGTTTTCCATATATGTTCATCCACTAAATCTAGAGCAGCATGAGCAACAAACTGACTTAGGTGTGCATTATCTTCTTTCTGTTTTCAATGAAACAAAAAAAACCAATCATTGCAAAAAAAAAGTATTTACTTATTTTGTAGTGATGCAGGTCAAAAAAATTAAAATTTTTTATTTATAAATTTATCCTCTATTAATGCAGGAATTTAAAGGATTTGAACCTATAAAAGACTATTCTCAGAAATGTTTTTCATAAAAAAGGAAGGAAATAATAGTTTGAATAAAGTAACTGACTTTGATCATTTTGATAGTTCATAATGAAATGATTTTGAATTATTTCCATTAATATTAAATATTTAATAATAAGTGTAAGACATTTTCGTCAGTTCGAGTAAGCAATTTGACGATCAAATTGATGATGCACAAAAAGAAAAAAATTTAATTTTTTGACTAAAGAAATTTAAAGTAGATGAATAGAAATTATAATAAAGATTTTTAACTCAAATTCGACGTGTCATGTTTTTCAAAACCAATCTGAGTTGTCATGTTTTTCCACCCAGCCAGCGATATGTGAAATATTTAATAAAATTTTCATACCTTTCTATCTTTACCGGCATTTGCGAATTCAATTTCAAACAATGGATTATCAGCATGTCCAACAATAGCGAAGTAAAAATTAAATGCCATCACGTAATATTGTAAATATTGAAGATTTTCATGAGAATCCTGTTTTGTTATTGTTTATTAACAGACGTGAGACGATGACAGCAGCCAAAGTATGTACTAGGTGTAAAGGTGCTGCCACACATGTAAGAGTGCACTATCAAGGTACATTTACAATACAAAGCCTCGACAAGGCATCATATACATATTGCATCATATTTCGAAGGTTCTACACTAGTTGAGCTTGAGTAGCAGAGTTGAGAGTAGTGAACGCTTTCCCTTCTACACAACGAAAAGTTTAAGGTTTAACAAGTTTACACATGTTTATTTCTCAAGAGAAAAATATTTGATTTGTCAGTTAGTGCAATATTAATTAACAGATTTAAAAAAGGCAATAAAAATGACGTCTTTTGAAAATTTAGCAGAGCAAATTCAGGAGAGTTTCTCTAAAACTGCTGCACACATTTTTCTATATCACGGTAAGTAGTATATTGTATTTTCTTTGTAATTTATGAGGCATTTGATTTCAAAACGATCCCCTTCGTAAACAATTGCCTATGTAAGACAACTTTTGAATAAATATATCCTACCAACGATTTTAATTAAATTTATATCAAACGAAAACTTGAATATTTTACTATATATTTATTGAACGATAATAGTGATTTTAATAAATTCATTAAATTTTACAGATATTTCGAAGGTTTTTTATATATAAAAATTGAGAAAAACAAATGCCGCCCTATACCAAAAAATGGTTAGAAAAGTGTAAAATTTGATTGATTTCTTAAAAATTTTAAAACTAATAAAATTAAATTCTTTCAAATGTAAAATTTATTTCAATGAAATTTGACAAAACTTTTAAAGTTGCTTTAATTTTTAAAATTATTTTTGGGAATTAAATTATCTTCAAAACAATTTTAAAGAATTTTTCAGAAACATAATTTTTTTTTAGAATTCAAAATTTAAAAAATTTTTGTTACATGTTTAAAATAATTGAAATTTTAAGTAATCTCAACGCAAAATCTTTTGAAATTTAATTATTTCTAAAAACTACGACTGCAATTTTTCCAAAGTTCAATTTCACATTTACATCATTTTTAGAATTTTCGAATAAACTTAATCAAAAATTTAATAATTTTGAAAGAAAAGTAAGATAATTTTTTTAAATTAAAATTTAAATACTATCATTACTTTTACGTTGATTAAAAATAATATTAAAAGGATTTCAATTTTAAACTCTTTTAAAGTTTAAATATTTCTTAAAATTCTTGTTACGACGATTCTATATTCAAATATTTTTTAAAATTTTAACTTAAATTCTTTTTAAATCAATTCTTATTAGAATTCAACAACGATAATTGAATTATTTAAATACAAGAATTTTTTGTAAAATTTAATTATTTTCCAAACATTTAGTTACATTCAGAAAAATCTACAATAGTATAGATTTATTTAATTCATCTCTCAAAGAATTCATTCGATTTGTTCACTCTACTTTCCATAGCACATAATTATTTTCTTTCTTATTTCCAATTTTGTAATGGCTTTATAATCTACGAAATTGCACTACCTTTGATAGTAAAATTACTGTTTTATTTTGTAGTCATGTTATTGGTTGTAACTGTTGGACTTAATAATAATAATAAATACAACAATATTTAAAAACATATTTTTAAAGTGAAAAAATAAAATTCTTTGAAATATAAAATTTATTTTAATGAAATTTGAGAAAATTTCCCATTTTTCAATTTTTAAAAATTATTTTCGGGAATTTAACTACTTTCAAACAATTTTAATTACTATTTTTTACATTTTTCAAAACTTCTAAATAAAATTTTTCAAACTTCATTAATTTTGCTTCCTCATAGAGGAAGAATTGTATTAGCAAAATTTTTGATTTTGATTTTTTGACATATTTATAAACTTTTCTTCGTTATACCTAATCTTTTAGTACTTTATGCACGAATGGGCATTGCCCCTATAAATGTTGTAAATAAATACAAAAAAATTTTTATGTAATTTTGTCTCAGAAGTCCAAAAAACGGATTATAAAAATTTGTCCCGATGTGTGTGTGTGTGTGTGTGTACTAACATTTCATTTGCCTCAATATCTCAGAACGAGAAAGAGCTAAAGGCCACAATTTTTTTTTTAATTGTAGGTCTCCCCGGGGGACATAAAATGAAAGTATTTTCAGCCCGATTCATAAAGTTCAACTATATTTTTTTGCATTTTTCATTTTGTAAAAAAACGTTTTTTGGCCATAACTTAAAAAAAATGTTAGGACACCTATAAATGTTTTTCTTTAGTTTTATAGAGTTTTTTCAGTCGCATCTGTTGAGCCTTCATTGAACATTTTTCGTCTATATTAGCCTGAGATATTAAAGTTTTAAAAATCTAAATTTTTTGAAAATAACACTTTTTTGAAAATCTTGTTGAAAAATATAAAAGTAATTTCAAAAGTATCATTACCAACTTGTAGAGCATTAAAAAAGGTTTCGATTGACCTATTTTTGAACCTGATTTGGTCAAAAATTATCAAATTATTGGTATTTGAAAAATCAAAAATTGTGGAAAATATAATTTTGTCAACATTCTTGTTTATTAACTTATGTGTAATTATTAAACTATTATAACCATCTTATAGAATATATAAAAATATATTTTTTGGACCAAGATTTAATGATTTTTAACTCTTTTATAAAAATTAATTCTTATATTTCAATTATTATTATTTCTATGAGGAAGCAAAATGTTCATGAAATTAACACCAAAATTATAAAAATGTACAACTTGGTTTATTATCTAATTGATTTTAATTATTTATAATTAATAGTATATTGGTATTTATTAATATTAAAAAAACGGTCTGACCAAGATTGACTTACTTGCACTACTGAAATTTTGGAATTTGTAGAAATCACACATTGTTTTTTTTAAATAAATTATTAGTGAATTATTTCCTCCTTTATGGTTTATATTTTAAAAGGAGAAATTAAATAGTCTGACTGACATTGACTTGTACTACTTAGACTTTAAAAAGCAAAAAATGCACTACTGTAATTATTTTTCAAAAAAAAATATAAAATATTATGTTCTATTCCGCGTCACCCAAGAGGTTGAACATCAGACGCTCTTTTGTATGGTTTCCCCATTACACACAGTTCTTCCAATTACAAAATTTGTAGCAAAACACGTTAACAATTTTAACGCATTTGAATTTGTAATTGGGCTAATGTGTCATAGGCCTACTCCACTCCTCCCTTCAACAAGAGAAAAGTTTTTATTTCAATCAAGAATAATTTCTTTGAATCTAATAAAAATAAATATTTGTCTTAGTAATTCAATATTTATATGTATAAAATAAATATTGAACACTTTGATAAAATATATATTTTTTCTCCGATTGAACACAATAAAAGCAAAGTCTTTAAAATTCAATTGAGTTTGAATCTATGATGTAAATAATTACAAATTTACACTTACATATTATTTGCAGATTTTTGGTATTATTAAATGAAAATAATTACAAATTCTAAGTTTTTTCGAATTCGAAAAATAAAACTTTTTTGAGACTTTGTTTTTAATGTGGAGCACAATTTATTTGCGACAATATTAATAACATTGACAGAAATATATTATGTTCCGAAGGACCGCTGAAAAAAAATTAGGTCACAATGAAAACATAACATCAAAATTAGGTCAAAATGATAGGTCAGGAAATAAATATAACCTTCAAATTAGGTAAGAATGCGAGGTTAGCGAGCAAACGTAACCTAAAAATTAGGTCGAAATGATAGGTTAAAAAGCAAACAACCTCAAAATTATGTCAAAATGATAGGTCAGAAAGCAAACATAACCTCAAAATTAGGACAGAATGATAGGTTAGAGAGCAAACATATCCTCAATATTAGGTCAAAGGGCAGAGGGCAAACATAACATCAAAATTAGGTCAAAGGACAGAGGGTAAACATAACCTCAAAATTAGGTCAGTATGGTAGGTTAAAGAGCAAACATATCCTTAATATTAGGTCAAAGGACAGAGGGGAAACATAACATCAAAATTAGACCAAAGGGGTAAACATAAACTCTTAACATAATATGGTAAACATAACCTCAAAATAAGGTCAAAGGGCAGAGGGCAAACATATCCTCAACATTAGTTCAAAGGGCAGGGGGCAAACATAACCTACAAATTAGGTCAGTATGATAGGTTAGACATAAAACATGTCGTCAATATTAAGTCAAAGGTCAGAGGGCAAGCATATCCTCAAAATTAGGTCAAAGGGCATAGGGCAAACATAACCTCAAAATTAGGTTAAAGGACAGAGGATAAACATAACCTCAAAATTAGGTCAAAGGGCAGAGAGTAAACATAACATGAAAATTAGGTTAAAGGACAGAGGGAAAACATAACCTCAAAATTATGTCAAGATATCCTCAATATTAGGTCAAATGACAGAGTTCTATAAAAAATAGAGGTAAGGGGCTGGCGCGCGTACATCACTGGATGTACGAATGTTTAAATTTAAGTAATATATAATGTTTAAAAATCTATAATGTATTTTTACGCAGAAATGAAAAAAATATTGCATCGTGAAACGACAAACAATAATTTGAAACACAGAAAAAATATTAACATAAAAAAGCGAAACACATTGTACAAAAGAAAAAGATATTGACAGAAAATCTGAATCAAAAAAAAAAAATAAAATGAAAAAAGCATATAGATCAGAAACAGAAAACAAATTTTGTTAAAACTGCAACAGAGTTGAAGCGTTGAAAATATGTTTAACTTCAATTGAAAAGCGTTGACCTGAAACAAAAAGCACACTTTTATTAGAACACATCTAATATAATAATATATAATATAATAAAAATAACTAAAAATATACCTTAGAGAAAAAACTGGAATTTGCGGATGTTGATCTGAAACTAACTTGATATTTTCTCTAACAAACAGGTCTCGAATTAACTTTCAAGGGGCTAAAATGTGTTTGTTAAATTTTATTTTTATTCATTTTAATTTTAATTAATTTAAATTTCTTTGAAAAGATAAAAGAAGTTACATTATTTTTCGCGTTTAATGAAACAAAATTTTTATTTAAGAACATTGCTTTTGGAAACTTAGGTGTGAAAAAAGCGCGGAATTTGAAAGTAATATGACATTTAACTAAATTAACGATCGTATGAAATTTCCCGAAATTCTAAACGATCGAATAAAGATTAGATCGAATTTACAAAAATCGAATACTTTTATGATGAACTTCTAAAATATCGAATGCTTATTTGATTGAATTTTAAAAATATCGAATGTTAATTTGAACGAATATTAAGAACATCGAATGTTTATTTTAATCAAATTTTCAAAACATTGATTATCAATATTTGATCGAAAATGTTGCAGTTGTTGTTTTAGTTTAATCTTATCAAAATTTGTTATACTTTTCTACTATTTTTTCTTGTTTTATTTGAATA